TCTTAAATAAAACTTTTTAAAAAATAATTACAATTTTAATAGTCTACTATTCAGCGAAAAGTATCTGGACACACTTTTGCAGACTCAAAAAGTCTTGTGGCACATAATCACATCGGTCCCTTTTTTGGATTTATGACAGCCTGTGGACTCTCAGTTTCCACCAGTTTTTAATAGGTGGCCATAGGAATTGACCCCGAGTCGCCCATGGTCCCGCAGTGGACTGATCGTTAAGACGTGGTTCCCAGTAGATCACCGAAATTAAGCAACACTGTCTGCGATCAGTGTGCGGGTGGGTGACCATTTGGATTAGTCTGCATAGGGACCGAGGGTGTGCGGTATGGATCCTCGTTAAACTGTTCTGCCGTAAAGTGCACGATTTCGCGTTCAGGTCGTCGGGCTACCGAAGCGGGGATGCCATTCCTCTGCAGAGCATCGAAATTGTGATGGCATGTCTTCGGACTATCCTCAGGGATGTTTCCCAGACCGTCGCCAATAGCCCATTGTACAGCTCTAGTGCAACGTAAATGAACTACAACCACCACTACTCCAGTCGTCCATGATATCTGAAATGAGCTCTGATAGAGAGGATAGGGTAGATTTTGTCGGCTACGCAAACTGCGTGCTAGTTCTTCACAAAGGTATTTCATAGGATTTAGATAGTTCTGAGAAGATGTTGTTGTTAATTTACGTCACACTAGAGCTGCACAATGGGCTATTGGCGACGGTCTGGGAAATATCCCGAAGGATGATCCGAAGACATGCCATCACAATTTTGATAGTCTGCAAAGGGGATGACACCCCCGCTTCGGTAGCCCGACGACCTGCGCGCGAAGTCGAGCACTTTACGGTAGCACAGTTTAACGAGGAGCAATACCGCACACCCTCGGTCCCTACGCAGACTGATCCAAGTAGTCACCCACCCGCACACTGACCGCAGCCAGTGATGCTTGACTTCGGTGATCTGCTGGGAACCGTGTCTTAACGATCAGTCCACTGCGAGACGAGTTCTGAGAAGACTAGTCCAGTTTTTGAATACCCATGCGTAAAATCTTGAATGGAGCAGCATTCCGGCTGGAAGAGAAATAGGCCCATCCCCAAAATATTGTCTTACAGTTTGAAGAACTGCATAATCCAAAATGTCAGCATGCATCTCAGAGTTCATGTTTCCAACCATCGGAACTAAGGAACCCAGAAAAAAAATAAAAAACACGCTATGATAATTTAGGTGGGTGTCTGGATACTTCTGGACACATTGTGTATTTATATATGTTTTCAAGATATTTATAAATTATATTCATAAAGTTATACTTCTGCTGTTGGTGGAATTTCTCACGTGTTACGTGATTTGAGATAACTTGAAAATAAGACATATCCAGAACAGGACCATTAGTCTTGGCACTACTATAGGCTAAAATATTACGTCCCTTGACCACGACTGTAAGAGTGGAGCATGGACCTTAAACATGACACACAATACTCACATGTTTCAGGATTTCCCAGAGCAATCTTATTTTTGCGCATGCATTTTTGTGCACTCAATTGAGTGGTGTAATTTGCTTTCTGTTATTATCTGCTTTCTAATTTAGCATGGATTTCGACACAAACAGAGTTTTGTGTCGAATGGTATGGTTGGCAATGTGGTCAGCATTGCTCACAATGATGCATTTACTTTCCAAATAAGCTGATACCCATCGATCTGAAGCTGTGTTGGGTTTAAGCGCTTCTAAAAATCGAACCCCAGTCATTCACAACGACAGCTCAAAGCCTTAACCATTGAGCCAATTTGGTTCAATACAGTGGGGGAGAGGGGGGTCAATTGTAACAGGGTACGATTGTAACAGAGCAAAGATTTCGAGTGTCGGGTTCTAGATTTGGTTCCTAGGTGGCGCACAAGGTGTATAAGCTGGGGTGTACAAATCTACATGTACACCCCAGCTGCGACCATTTTTATGTACTTTTGAAAGAGTTACATCGCAAAAGATATTTTCACGCTACGTAAGTACTTTTTTTGGTATTGGAATATTATATTGTAACAAAGTAATTTGTTTAAACAAATAAAAATTATTAACCGAATATGCAAGTGGACACCTTAATTAACATTTCAATAAAAAAAATTAGTTTTGTTAATTAACTAACATTGTTTTTAACAAATGAAGCTGAAATGGCGTCTTGGGAACTATTGTAACAGCTGAAAATAAATAATCTTATGTTTGCAAAACATTACTTAACTCTTTAAGAACTACCAATAGTTTCCTATATCATTTATATTATGTTTCATGTGCATTATTTTATTAGTCACCTTTCACAGCATAAATTAAAATTTTTATCCCCTTAAAGTTAAGAGTTTAACCCTTTAGGTCTCTGCTCATTATTATTTTTACTCCTAAAATATCACGACTATTTTGATCAATAAAAAAATATATCACAACTATGATAATGTGTATAATTAACTATGTTTTAGTTGAATTTCTTAACTGTTACAATTGACCCCGTAAGTGGGAACAATTGTAACAAAGTGCACGACTGTCAAAAATTGTTAATAACTAATATAATAACATTTAAAATAAGGTATTTTTTTTCTAGTAGAGGATAGTTTATTTTACTCGCCTGTCAATTAATACTAATAATATATTAGATTTTTTGTTAGTTAAAAATAGTTAAGTAGAAAATGTTTCAATTGACCCCACTCTCCCCTACATAACTTCTAGATTATATGACTTCGGATCATCCTCAGGAAAATTGTTTCTCAGACGGTCGCCAATAGCCCATTGTGCGGCTCTAGTGCTACGTTAATAAAGTAATTACCTATTGTCATATTTCTCATCAAAGGGATTTTACAACAAATCTATTTCCATGATAAATGCTTTGGTATTTTTGAGACTCGAACTTATTTAATGCTTTAGTTCTGCAATTCAAATCTTTTAAAGTCTGCAAACTTAAAGTATTTGTCTGTCTGTAACTTTTGGGGCACAAAATATTTATCTTGTATTCTACTGTCACGATTAACGATCTTGTTTGCTATTTGTTGCAAACTCAGTTCTTCAATAACATCGGTACTCAAACCAAACAAATTTTTTTATCACAACACATTAGGGTGTTAATTCAGAAAACTTTTTCAATAAATTTTGGATCTTTAATCACTTGCTGCAGTCAGTATGTGGGTGGGTGACCACTTCAGCCTGCGTTGATACTAAGGGTGTGCAGTATCAGTACTCGCAGCTTTAGTGTGACGTCAATAAAGTGTCTACCTACCTATCAGATCCTTAATTTTTAGGAGCAGGATGCCTCAGAGACTAAAATATCAGAATTTTAAATAAAATAAAAATGATCACACGTTTGTATTCCAAAGTTACAAAAGAACTTCAGCGTTTGCAAACACTTAACCAAAGTAAGACCAAATCCTTTAGTCTTGCTGGAATATCTTGTTATTTAGATTTCCCCATTAGCTAGTGTGCTATTAAGGATATAAACCATCTACTTTCTTAGCTAAAGACAAGTGCCCCTTTTATAAATAAAATTGTAGAGTTTTATATTAGTGCAACATCAGCAACAAAATCTCACCAACCAAGTTGGCGTAACTGAGAGTTTAAGTTCTCCAACATTGACTCAAAATGTCGTAAATTTGTATTAAAAGTCACTATAAAACCTTTAGTGCTTACAAGCATCAAACACTTAAAGTAGTGCTAAATCTGTAAGTGTTGCTGTGAAAACATGTCACTCTGAGTTCGCCGTTAGCTGGTGTACTTTTCGATGTACAAACCAGCGACTTTCTTAGCAATTTGGAAACACAAGGCGTCTGTGATTCATAAAACATCAGATATTTACATTAGTGCCACGTCAACAGCTAAGTCTCACCAACCAGGCTGGTGTAAATGAGAGATTAAGGTCCATGATTATGACTCAGAATGTAGCATGTTTGCGTCGAAAGTAACTAAAGAACCTTTGGCCTTTACAGAAACGAAGTGGGAAGTGTCGAAGTTGGACTAAATCCGTAAGTCTTACAAGGAAAACATACCACTCCAAGTTTACCATTAGCTGATATACTGTTAGAGGTACAAACCGACAAATTTCTCAGCAATGATACAAAAAAAAAAAAAAAAGGGCCGCTTCGCAAATAAAGTTTTAGACTTTTACATTTGAGTAACGTAAACAATAAGACCACACCAACTAAGCTGGTGTAGCCAAAATATTAACATCCCAGACTTTGGCTAAAAATGTCACACTTTCGTACCTAATGTCATTGAAAAACTTAAGAGCCTTCAATAATCTAACGGAAAAGAAGTTTTATTTTTTCATCCTTTCAATTAATTTTAGCAAGATTAATTTCAAATTTGTTAATTTAGTTAAAGATCTTTTTTTAATAAGCTGTAAGTCAATAGTATAAATGGCAGTCAAATCCGCTACATCGGAGTATTTGGCACAGACATACCTACAAATGACCAAATTATGGTTTTACTTCAACTTAGTTCTTATATGGTAATTCCACAGTAACATCGATCAACAGTGATTTTGCAACAGGAACCTGCGACCCTTTCCGTGGCGATTCGTGACCTCAGTCACTCTGCTACCATGGCTCTATCGAGTTCATTATTATTTCTTTAAATATTTATATTAAAAATCTGCAAACTATGTGTGCTCAGATAGCTTTGTTAAATTATGTTGAAGAGCAGATAGCACTAATTATGGTATATTATATCACAGCAAATATAAAAGATATATCCAGGGAATAGAGCCCACTTCTACGTTTCAGAACGCTTGGTCTGAAGGACCCTTGGTCTTTGTGGCATCTGTGTTGGTTTATTGGTACAAAATACATTTGCAGACTTATGTGCTCAATTAAGGCTTATAAGCTTTTGTCAAGTAGAAGGACAGATATCACAATATAGAGCAGGACATCACAAGGAATACATCTAGGGTTATGGCGGGATTCGAACCCGCCACCTCCACGCTTAACAGAGAGTTTGGCGGGCGATACCGCTCAGCCAGGGAGGCCGCTGTGACATCTGCAGGAAAATTTCGTTATGCGTTGCAGAAATAGTCAGCTTGAGGTTTGTTCACAAAATTTTTCATATAAAAAATCAAATTTTGACGTTTGTGTGACTAAAATTTGTGTGATTTTAATCATTGCCGGATTCTTTGTTAAAGTAAGTGTTTCTTTCAAGAGGGTAATCTCTCTATGATATTGCGTGTTAGTTTTTTAAACAAAATTATTAACTAATATCTGTAACTAAAATTAATATCTTAACAATCATATAGATGCAGTACTGTTTAAATTTGTAAGCGCAATAGTAGATAAACCTTGATATAAATGTTAGAAAAGTTTTACTTATTGTCTTAAGAATTTATCTAGCATAGATGTTTCGAATAACTTTATTTCTATCTTGCAGTCTAAGTACTAGATTAAAATTTTGATTCTGAATTTTTTAAAAGTATCTTCTTTATCGCCCTTTCTCTTTCTCTTAATTATTTTGCTCTTGGTCAAACCTGTTGAATTAAACCTTTATGAAGGTTTGGATTTCTTAACGTTTAAATTATGTTCGATATTTGAAAGCTTTAGTTGTAAAACTGAATATATTAAAAACCTGAATGCATAAAAGAACTGAATATGTAAAGAACATGTGGTTACGATGATCCAGGGTTTTAAAATTTTAAATTTTTCAGATTTTTCCTCCTTTTTTTCCAACCTCCAACTTGTATAATTTGAATTGAAAATACCTTCTCAAATTTTCAGTATTTTTATTCAGTTACTTCAATGTATTTATCCAATAACATTTAGTTAGAGCATTGGTCATTTTTGTCTGGCTAGCGGACGAAAGTAACTTTTTCCTTTTTATTGTAACGCAAATTAGGGTTAGTTATAGTTTTTAATTGAAAAGTTCTTCTTTTTAAAACTAATTTGTTTTCATATTTTACCCGCGAATTCTTTCTGAACCCAGAGTTTGATTTTAAATGAAAAATTTGATTTCTATGTAGATAGGGTATTTATAGTTAAAAATAAAATACGATAAATTTATTTTTTCCGTTTTAAATATTTTAAGCCTTGTATTTATGGTCCTTAAAAAATAAAGGAATCTGAAATATTTGTTCTGCGTGAAGCTATTTTAAAACTTTATGATTTTTAATCTATAAAAAAATTGCATAACTCTAGCTAAAACTTTACTAAGTATAGTTTTTTAAGAAAAGTGGAAATTATTTCCAATTTACTCAGGAGATTTAACTTTAGACAAGCATGAGTTATATCGAAAACATAAGTATTTTGCCTGAGTTTGGTGCAGCATTGTCTACTCTAGATTCTGTGTAACTCTTACTATTGTATTGAGAAACTAGCAAATCTGTATTTTATAACATTGAGAAAATGTTCTATAAGACTTGGGCTCATGGCTTCATAAATGAAGGTTGCTGAGGTAGCACTGATTAAAACCTTAGATTTGGCAGGAATCAGATTGTAGATTTTGAAACTTTCAAAAAACAGTGACAAAGCTATAATTTTATTTAATCTCGAAACTAGTCTTCGCAACATTGGTAAGGAATAATTCAAAAAATATTTTGTATTTTAAGCAAGAGCTTTTGTGAACCCTTTCTCTTTATGTAAATGTCTCTACTTGTGTACCTTTACGAAGCTACCACTAGTTTTAAATATGTCAAATATAATTTTACCTAACAACTAATAAACGAAAACTTAGAATTTTATATGAGTACTTAAAAAATGTAAATTTTATATGAGTACTTAAAAAATGTATAGAATTTTCCTAAAATATAAATAGTGCAATTATGCCTAAGCAAAGGATTTATAAAACGACGATAAAGCATAAAAAGAAATGCATTATAAAGTTCTAAAAAATGTTATAACTGGAGTTTACTAATAATACTCTTAACTTTCTTTTAAGGAACTTTATTACCTTATGCTCCATTATACAGAGCATCAATGAGTTAAAGTTTAGGCTAGATAGCGTGCGTTCTATATGAAACAGAATTTTCACCAAATATTATAAAAGTTTATGAAAATTAAAGTATGCTTTTTGACTCAGTACAAAATTTGTATTAACTCTTATCTGAAACGCTATTCTTGATTACAATTTATTTTCCATATATAGATTGACTAAATTTAAATAATAAAAAATTTACATATTGATCTTAAAAATACTCGTTACCGTAAAATTACTCATTACCGTTTGTTTGAAGATTTTTCAAAACTACTCGTATTAAAATTTTATTTACTAAAGTTAACCGCATTTTCCAAGTCTTCTTGGACTCACTGATTTGCTCTCGAACCTTTTTCTCCTGATTAAAAAGGGAAGCTAACTTGCGGTAACCACACTTTTATATAAATATTATAAACATTTACCCAACTTCACTGGTAAATGTTTAGCGGTTTCAAAGTTTGTATTTTAATAAATGATTCTTGGTTATTATTAAATTAATAGTTTTTTATCCACTACTTTTAAATAATTCTGAAGTTTATTATATAAAACGCAAATCTTTTAAAGCTGCTTCGTATTGAGCGTTTCGTAAAATTGACAAAATCTGCAAATTTTAGTTGGTAGTTATCTAGTGAGTGCTACAATATTTTGTAGAAACTGGAGCAGTTTGTAACTCTGATCACTTATTCAACAGAAAGCCATGAAACTGAATATTATAGGAAAATATAAAAATCTAGTTCATTTTGTTGCGAGTAACTTCTACAATGAAAATTTTGTTTCCAATTCTCTTAGTGAAATTGCGCAATTTTATTTCGCATAATCTGGTTGCTATCATTCAAAGATTTTGAATATTTTTCAATCTCTTATAATAAGCAAGCCTTAGTATAAACTTGCACTGAAAAAAGTAAAATTTGTTACATACAGCATCTAATATCATGCTGTAACTATTTAAACTTTCATAAGGATTGTCCAAATGAAAAATGCACACGTAAGATTGCGCCATAAGTACAATAGTGATAAAAGTGCCGCCTTTATCACAATCTCTGTTTACAATCATTGTTTAATTACTATTAAAAATTATTTTTTACATGGGAATGTCTTTGAATAAAAATTTAAGTTTAATGCATCTAGCCGTTGCTGGTGCCTACCTCTCTCCGTTAAAAATTTGAGTATTTAAAGTTATGATTTTTCATTTGCAGGATAGTAATATGCAATTGGAGCATTAAAAATTTTTCTTAATAAATATGTCTAGTTATTTGGAAATAAGTTTTAGTTTTAAAGTTCAAAAATTTTGTCTTTTAAATTAAAATATCGTTTGGACAAAAGAGATGAATATTGGACAGATTAATGTTTAAAATTACCTACGAGGGTAAAAAAAAATTTTACGACAATTTATTTGAGCTTTCGTACTTGTTTCTAGTAAATTTTTTCCTTCAGCATTTTAACTATTAATTTAGCAAGCTTTAAAGTTCCTTTTTTGTCGAAATTTGTCTGCTTCCATTTTTAGCTTAAACCATTCTTGTAACAATGTTTCTATTTTTTGTAACTGTTTCCATAATAACACAACGTTGAAACAATGAAAAACAAATTTTTAAATATTGCATGCAAACAGCACAACTTAGAGGGGAAGAAAATAACGCAAAATTATAGAAAAAATATTAGCAATCTGTGACAAAGAACGCTATGTCCGTTAGTGAAGCTATTCAATGTATTAATCTAACAATAACAGATCTAGAAGTGGTTTTAAACAATGAAATTTTGCATTTCGATATGGCGCCTGAACTAAATGACTCTAAAGTTTCGATTCTTTGCAAACCAGCCTATAAAAACTAGCGAACTGCAGTAAAAACAGTTCTAAGCTGTTTCGGGTGCATACAGTTTTCCTCCTTGCTAAGCAAATGAAGGTTAGTTCCATCAAAAAGTCAGCCACGAGTTTGTCCCAATGCTCGATCCAGGCGTTTGTCTTCTGGGTGGAATTCAAAACTACAAGGCTATGGAGTTTAACATCAATGATCGTAAACTCAATCTGTCAAAAAATAAAGAGCCTTCAAAAAAATAGTCTTAAAACTCTATTTTAGAAACTAGACTGGAACATACGCAAAGCTTAAAAGTATTTACAAAAGCACGTATCATTAATAAAGCACAAAAAAATTAGTACAAACCTCTTATTCCGTCCTACCGAATGCATCCTATAAATGTTCAGTAAATTTTACATAAAACTATTTATTTTAAAAAGATGCGACTTCAAAACCATGCTTGTTTAGCTCCAGTTCTTGAGTTATTAGCGAACATCCATGCAGACTTTTGCTTTTATATACAGAGAGAAGTTGTGACTTAATGTTTGCTTTGTTGTCTGAAATTATGACATTCTAAAAATCTTTCCTAAACTTAGTTTTAGAAGTACACTATAAATTACTAAAGTCAATAAATTCTACTAATTTCTTTTACTGCTTAATTGCAAATACTAGCAATAACGCAAAATGATTGCCGAACATTGAGATTGATTTTTGAAACTAAATAAGACTTCTTTATAGGAAGTAAACAATTCAATAATTGAACTGTTTTACTCTATAATTTGACTTAATAAGTTTTATTTTACAGAAATCAAGGTCTAATAAAATGTCTCGCTCACAATCCACTAGAGTCACTCGATCTACATCACGGATGGCAAGTAGTATTGCTGCAACTGTACCAGCTGTTGGAGAGAGCTCTGAAAGTGAAAATGAACAGCTTTTAATGATTCTGAAATCAGACAACTCATCACATCTGATCGGTGAATCGTTCAAGAAAATTGAATCTGAACGGCAAAAAACGTACGTTGATAGTCTAAAGGATTTAATGAACTTTTTTCCAAAGAAGTCTGAGGAAGAGGATGAATTTTCCTTGAAAACAGCCAGAAGAGAGGCTTTATTTGAAGATGCGATTGCCACATTTGTGGCGTGCTTTTTAATAATTTCAATCTCTTTGCTGAGCTTTTATGCCAGACACTCTATTGTCTCTTCAATGCTTCCAGCTCAAGTACTTGAACTCGGAAAGTTTTGGACACCTTGTATATATTGTCTGGTGATTTTTGTTTTGCTTAGAGAGAAATTGAGTTCATATTTTTAAGTACTGTTTATAAATTTTCAAATAAACTCTGCATATTTTTGATTGTGTTGAGAAGATTTTTTAAAGTACTTAAAGATTTTCTGAATCTTTTTTCGCTGTTGGAAAACAGCAGCAAAATAGGAGGTAACTTAAACTCCAAATATAGCTGTGATTCTTTTTTGCGTTCTGATACGGCTAAATCAAGAATAACAAATTCAGGCTCAACCGCTTCGATTACTATAAGCCTGTACCTTTAATCCGCCATAACAAAATTTGAGTGTTATCCTCTCAACGAGGACAAAGGTTCAAATCCCTATAGTGGCTGGTTGATACGCATTATTCAACCAATTCGCATAAACCACAGTGCTGGAGCAAAGTATCCTCAGTGTTAAACGGATCATGGGTTAGATTCTCCTTGTCGTCGGGCTAACCATCAGAGGTTTAAGTGGTTTTCCCTTATGTTGCGCAAGTGAAGGTTAGCTCCATCAAAAAGTCCTCCACGAAGGCATAGTTTGTTCCTATGCTTGATCCAGAAGTTCGTCTTCTGGGTGGGGTTCGAAACTACAAGGCTATGGAGTTTAATATATATGATAGTAAACTCAATCTGTAGGACATTTAACGTTGCTTATAAAGAAAGAAAAACCTTTTCAACGTTTGGGGGAGTTTATAAAACTTTCACCTTTGCAAAAATTATTAAACGAAGTAATTTTTTGTTCTGAAACATCGCAGTGGTAAACAATTTTTCTTACTAATTAAATTGAAAGCTCTTTTCATTTTTAAACTGTATTTTCATACTATGACTGTCATTTTTCTTATTAGGAGTTAAAGCTGGTAAAAATTGACAAAACAGCGAAGTTTTAACCCCTAACGGATTAAAAAAAAATAATAACATATCCACCAAAAATACTATTTTTCTATAAAGAGCCTTAAAAAAAATAGCCTCAAAAACTCTCTTTTAGAAACTAGACTGGAACACACAAAGTTTAAAGTATTTACAAAACTACGTATCATAATTAAAGCTTGAAAAGATTAGTACAAACCTCTTATTCCACCTTACCGAATGCGTCCTGTAAATGTTGTGTAAATTTTACATGAAACTATTTATTTTAAAAATATGTGGTTTAAAAATCTTGTTCAGACTTTTAAAAACCTGGTTGTTTAACTTGAATGAATATAACCTAAAGAGTTGAATAACGACTTCAGCTGAGAATTTTCATTTTGATATTAAAAGATTTGCTAAACATGGCTGGTAGGGCGGCAGGATCAATGTCCAACAAGTCGTGAGTTTGGTACCCGCAGGACGAAGACTTGTGCACGTTAAAGATATCGGGGTCACAAAGTCCTCTAAATTCTCATAACAAATCAATACCTCTGGGTGTACTGGATCATAGATTGATCGTGCTCTGGTTCAGGTCAAAATTACGATCTGCGGATGGATAGATGGTGTGTGAATGTTTCCTCCCTGTAAAACGGGATGCGTCGTATGTATGTTGTCTTCGCATCATCCTCAGAGATGTTTCCCAGACCGTCACCAATAGCCTATTGTGCAGCTCTAATGCGAAGTAAATAAATGTACCAGTACCTTTTATTTTGTTTGGTTCCTCTTTTTGTTTTTTCATCTGATTCAGTTTACATGCTGAGCCATGGTTGAGTGATGCACGTGATTCAGTTAGCAAAACAAGTTTGATTTCATTACTTTGAGTACGCAATGCTTTTTTCGTTTTGTTATCTTTCGTTCATTTGAATCAAATTACCTTCTAAAAGAATCTTAATTAGTTGAATATCGTCATTTTAATTACACTTAATTTAAAAGCATTGTTGTAAAAAATATAAATATGATCACAATTATCTTGCGCTTCATTAAATTTAAATAAATAAACCATAATGTTCACAACTATTAAAAAATTGTTATTTCACTTTTAATTAAATTGTATACAATTAATGTTATGAAAATGCTTTATTCATTAATATATTCATAAAATTCTTTCAAGGTTGAAATCGTCGAAATAATTCGAACTCTTAACACTGACTACCACTAGACAAAGAATCATCGCCGTCATCACGTGTGACATTACGAACGGAATTTTATTCTTGTGTCATCTCTAGAAGAGGCGTCGTGAATGATAAGGAGTCATTCCAGATGATTCGTGGATTTCTTCTCTTCTATCTCCAGAACTCTCGACCCCAGGGAGCTGATTGATGTTAAAGAGGCATTTAAGGGCAATCTTCTCAGCGTCGACCATGTACCCAGATAACTGTCCTCGGCGTCATTTCACCTCGTCAAAAGAATCTCGAAGAAAAGTCCTCGTCATTCCCTGTCATTTCATCTAAACATCTCTTCCCCCCCCTCCCTCTAGTCTACCCCTCATCTCTTTCACACCGCTGAAGAATGTGATTGACTCCATATATGTAATGTAATGTACTCATTTATGTGTCTCGAGTCTGGAAAGTTTTCCCTTCATTTTATTCAGTTTTCGGTTTTAATTCAAGTGAAAGTCTTCACAAATTTCACTTTTTCAATGCAAAAATTTCGTTCGTTTCGATTTTAATTTAATATTATTTGAAAATTGACTGTGCAATGATGTAAATAAAATCCGTAGAAAGATAAGTAGGCTCTTCCAGTTCTTAAATGAGTATCATATAAAAAACTTAAGTGGTTAAAATGAATTTTCAGTTTTTTTTAATTTCATTTTTATATCAAATTCAAATTTAAATCTTAATTATTTCGACTTATTTTGTTCAGAAAAATTCATTGTTTCTCTCTTTATATATGCATCCGGTTCTCAATTTAATGAATCCTTGTTTACCGAATTTCAATAATTTAAAATTTCTTTTTCTTATTTCCCGACTAAAATCAAGGGAAAAAAACCTATTTAACAAATAATAACCACTGAATTTAAGAATTATTCCATGACATAATCATCATCATTATTATTTTTTTTTCTCTTTTTTGAACAAAGTTTGTTCTTCCTTACTTCCTTACTTTGTTTGGACTTCCTTACATCATCAGATAAAGATACAAATGAGAAATATTTTTTGTTTATTTATCAATGTCCGACACATCCTCCAATTTACACCTAATTATTTCCCTGCATATTTCACAGGTCATTCAATTTCAGTCCATTGATATCATTCTTTCGATAAAAATGAAGCATAGAAAGTTGCTTTGGAGAAAAATTATAGCATCATTGAATGAAAATGCTGAGAAAATAAACAAGGTCAACGTTTTGGCTGTTCTGTATATTTTGCAAAAGTAATCTCGAGACTGAATTTTTGAAAATATTGTTGAAATAAGCTTAATTTCAAAACACAAAAGTGCAATTAACTGGTGCATTTGAAGTTTCCTATGCTTTTAGATACAGATTGAAAAATATACTTGTAATTCCTAATTACGGAAATTAATTGTGTGAGAGCAAACAAATTTTGATTCGGGCCCCAAAATTTCAAAAGTACCGTTTTATACGTTAATTTGGGGAATTAACGAATTGAAAATTATCCAAGTCATCCTAATTTTCAGTTTTAGTTTTATTTTTTAAAATTTTTACGCTAAAACACTTTTGGGAAGGCGGGGAAACTCTTTTAATTCATAAATGTGTAGTTTGTAATGCACATAATTAAGGAAATCGAAATTTTGTTTTTTTCATTTTTATTCGATTTTAAATTTAAATCAATTTCTCAGCATTTCAACTTGTTAAGGAAGAAACTTTCTTTGTTTTATTTATTTAAAAATATCTGACTCAATCACTTTCCCTTTTTATAAACTGTAAATAATTTCTCTTGGAAGACCGGATTCTTCAAATGAATAGCATGTAATGAATAGCATGTAATCCAATTAATGATGTGATGTCACAGAATTTTCATATTCTTAAGTCGATTTTCGTTTCTAGCAAAAACAAATGTTTTCATCATTTTGAATTTTTCAATAAAAAAATTTTCATCGTTTGGATACTTTTAAATATTTTATCCTAATCTTTCTAATTGCTACATTGTAAATAAAAACTACAGGGAAAAAATTCTGGAAAGGTGAAGAGCAAAAGTTATCAGTTTCTTCACAAAAACTTAATATTTGCTGCTATGAAGAATCGAGTCAACTATATTTTCTTCATAATTTCGACTTTTTACGAACAAATCATTGTTCTAATTTTTACATACACTGTAAAAATTGTAGAGTAATACCTATCCGAATTTGGTGTTGAAAAACTATAAAAATTATCAATTAAATATTGAATGGAACGTTCTTGCTCACTTAAAAGGGTGTAATTTTGTGGCACTAATAATTGATAAAGCTTACACCAATGTGCAGTATATTTACTTAATTAACGTATATTTACACAATTTAACGAAATTCTTACGTGAAATGTTGGCAGAGCGTGTTTTAAACGTGTAACAGATGCCTTTAGACCATAATTTAAAAGTTTAAAGGTGAGAAATTGCGCAATTTTAATATAGTGACAATGTGGCAGATAAGATGACGGTTTATTCATATTGAAGTGTACTGGTAGATTGTAAGTTCTTGTCTGATTGAATTGACAAATTAGTCACAGCATAATTTAATACCATGTTGATTGTAGTTGTTTATTTGTCACATTGATTTGACAATTACTCATTTAAACTGCTGTGTGAATGCTGTGCTTTTATTAAAAACTCTCAGTATAAATAAGTAAAGGATCTTTTCACAGATGAAGATAAACATTGGCAAATAGTTTGAGTAAAGAAATGCGCCTGGAAATTATTTAATTTCCGTTAAAAATTAAATAAAATAAATAAAATGTAAGATAAGATAATGACTTATTAGTGTCGTACTTTATACAAAAATACACTTTCATTTTTTTTCCTTTCAAAATCACTAATAATCATCTGACTTATCCATTATCAAGAAAATATAATAACATATTTTTTTCTTCACATGAGCCAAAAAGAAAGTGGAGAAAAAAAAACCTTTCCGAATCACAAAAATTCTTCAATCTTGTTCCCGCCTACGCAGAAAGCGAAAAAAAAATGAATAAAAGCAAACAGAAAAGAAAATAATACGAAATCTTGCTGAAAGATCTCTTTAACCCA